TCGCTATGAGTCAGAACCGACTCCACAGCACATAACCATACCACCACCACCCAATAACAAGGTTTTGTATTGAAATACTCATCTACATTATGAAATACTCATCTACATGCAAATTTACATATATACATCCACATATAAGTACATGCACACATGTGTATTTTCATCATTATCCTCGTTGCTATGTGTCCTTGAGTCAACTCCAGTGCATAACTAACCTATGCAGAACAAAACACAACACTGCCCAGTTGTGTGCCATCTTCATAATTGCTGTGTTTGAGTCCACGGTTGCAGTCACTGTGTCAGTCCATCTCCTTGGAGATCTTCCTTTTTGCTGACTCTCTATTTTGTCAAGCATGGGGTCCTTTTCCCAAGAATCAGCCCTTGTGATAAGAGATCCGAAGTTAGTGAGACAAAGTCACATCATCTTTGCTTCTAAGGAACATTCGGGCTATACTTCTTCCAAGATCATTTGTTTGTTCTTCTGGCAGTCCATGGGACTTTCAATATGCTTCTCCAACCACAGAACTCAAATGCACCAATTCTTCTCAAATCTTCTTTATCCATTGTCTAACTTTTTCATGCATACAAGGCAATTGAAAATATCATGGTTTGTGTGATTTCACCATATATGAGGGTATGTCTAAAAGCATTTCTAAAAAATTATAGAAACTTATTAAATGAAAATATCAAAATGTAAAGATATTGTTTCTCAACATCCTCCATTTAGGTTTATACATTTGTAAAGGTGATGCTTCCATCCCTCTAACCTTTCCCTGGAGTCCTGATGTGGCACTGCAGGGTAAGCACTGGACTGCTAACTTCAAGATTGGTGGTTCAAACCCACCAGTTACTCCTCAGAAAGTCTATACAAGGTCAATGTGAATCAGAACCAATTCAACAGCACTTAACACCACAAACAACCAGCCTTTCCTGAAGAATTATGTGCTCTTAAATTTTTGTTGCTGTTGTTAAGTACAGTCAAGTTAGTTCTGATCCACAGCAACCCTGTATAGGGTTTCCAAGGAGCGGCTGGTGGGTTTGAACCACCAACCTTGCAGTTCAAACTGACCTTTCAAGACAGTGCTTTATCCTAAAGTGCCGTATCAAGACTCAGCTCTTCAATTTACACTATGTCAAATGGCAGTTTTGGTATCCTTGAGGAATTCAGATTATTTTCCTTTTCAAACTTTTTTTTTTTTTTTTTTAGTTTTGTGAACAAAAAGAAGTCTGAAGGGGGCAAGATCAAGACTATAGGGTAGAAAAAGTAAGGTTTCCAAATAAATTCTCATCGGGCTGCCCTGGCTATCCTCAAAGAATAAACAGGTATATTGTGATGGAAAAAATTCCTGAGCACAAATTTCTCAGCAATGCTGTTTTTAATTTTCTTAAAAATGTATAAGTCTCTGGGATCATCCTGTGTCCTTTGAGAAAATCTATCATGATTACCCTTTTGGAATCCCCGAAACAGTCGTCATAGCTTTCTGAGCTGGCCTCTCTGCCTCGGAAGCCAGTGTTTTGATAAGAGCATTTTATGAAGGTACCCTGACAAGCATATTACTGAGAGAACTTCTCTGCAGCCATCTGTTGGTCACACAGTCATGTGTAAATAAGTTTTATTTTAAATAAACCCATGTATATATGAACTGGAGGTCTAGTAGCAATTCTTTTTTATTTATCCTCAAATTATGTATATATTGTATAATATAACAGCTTATTATCAACTCAACTAATTATACTAACATTGCTTTTGTTGTTAAGTGATGTTGATTTCTTCTCGCTCACAGCGACCCTGTATAGGGTTTCTGAGGAGTGGCTGGTGGGTTTGAATTATTGACCTTGGGGTCTGACGCATTATCCTGCAATGCCATACCAGAATGCCTATACTAATGTAGGGGAATAAAATAAGTAAAAATCATTTTGTTCTGTTCTGTTTTTTTCTTTTTGCCACAAATTTCCTTTATTACACTTGACTAGTGTAAATGCTCAAATTAGTTGGTAGTTAGTGAGCACAATCTTAACAATGGAAAAGATAGACTCTTCAGAAGCCTGCTCAGTATAGAAGAAAGACAATTTAAAATTGAAAGTTGGTTCCTTAATATGTATCAAGTGAAGAGTCCATAGTAAGAGTCAAAGACTCTAGTGGTATCTGCCACTCATTAGCAATCAGAACATAGAATGTACAAAGTATGAATCTAAGAAAGTTGGACGCTGTCAAAAAAGAAAAAGAAAAAATAAAGATAGATATTTTTAATCCAAGAAACATATGGTTTACTATACTGGAAATATCAAATTAAAGATGAATGGCATCCAAAACTAACATTTCAAGATCTATCTTAAAGTACAATGCTGACTGTGATAGTATAATATCCATACGCCTACAAGGAAGATCGATTAATACCACCACTACACAACTACTAATTTCAGTGATGATGAAGCTGAAGAACTTTACCAATGCCTTCAGTCTGAAATTGATCAAACAAAAAATCAAGAAGTACTGATAATTACTGGTGATTGGAATGTGAAGGTTGGAAACAAAGAGGAAGGATCAGTAGTTGGAAAGTATGGTGGTAGAAATAATGCTGGAGAACACATGAAAGAATTTTGCAAGATCAATGACTTACTCATTGCAAATACGGTTTTAAATAAGGTGACTGTGAACATGGACCTCACCAGATGGAATACACATAAACCAAATTGACTACATCTGTGGGAAGAGTTGGTAGAGAAGCTCAGTAGTATCAGGCAAAACAAGACCAGGGGCAGATTGTGAAACAGACTGTCAGTTGCTCATATGCAAGTTCAGTCTGCAGCTAAAACAACACCACAAACTAAGACCTTGAATCCACCTGAACTTAGACTATCTCAGGAACAGATTTGCTGCATTAGACACCAATGACCAAAGATCATAAGAGTTGTATGATGACATAAAGAACACAAAACAGGATGAAAGCAGAAGGTCACTAAAATGATAGGAAAGAAAGCAAAGACAAAAAGGGGTGTCAGAAGAGACTCTGAAACTTGCTCTTAAGCATAGAGAAGCTAAAAATAATGGAATAAAAGAATAAGTAAAAGAGCTGAACAGAAAAATTCAAAGGGCAGCTTGAGAAGACAAAGTCAAGTATTATAATGAAATGTGCAAAGACCTGGAGTTAGAAAACTAAAATGGAAGAACACGTTTAGCATTTGTCAAACTGAAAGAGATGAAGAAAAAATTCAAGCCTTGACTTGCAATATTGAAGAATTCTATAAGCAAAATACTGAATGATGCAGAAAGTATCAAAAGAATATGGAAGGATTACACAGAGTCTCTATACCAAAAAGAATTGTTCATCATTTAAGCATTTCAAGATGTACCATCTGATCAAGAACCGATGATACTGGAGGAAGAAGTCAAAGCTACACTGAAGGCATTGGTGAAAAATAAGGCTCCAGGAATTGATGGGCTACAAATTGAAATATTTCAACAAATTTATGCAGCCCTGGGTGTGCTCATTCATCTATGACAAAAATATTTAGAAGACAATCACCTACCAACTGCTTGGAAGAGATCAAAATTTATGCCCATTCCAAAGAAAGGTGAAACAATGGAATGCAGAAATCATCAAACAATATCATTAGTATCACATGCGAGTAAAATTTTGCTACTGACCATTCAGAAATGACTGCAACAGTACATTGGCAGGGAACTGCCAGGAATTCAAGCCAGATTCAAAAGAGGACAAGGAATGTGGGATAATAGTGCTGTTGTCAGATGGATCTTGGCTGAAAGCAGAGAATATCAGAAACATGTTTACTTGTGCCTTATTGACTATAAAAAGACATTCGACTGTATGGATAATGACAAGCTATTGAAAACCTTGCAAATAATGGTTACTCCAGAACATTTAATTGTGCTCATGAGGAACCTGTACATAAACCAAGAAGGCAGTCATTAGAACTGAATAAGGGGATACTGAATGGTTTTAAATCAGGAAAGGTGTGCACCAAGGTTGTATCTTTTCACCATAGTCATTAGGTCTTTATGCTGAGCAAATAATTCAAGAAATTGGATTATATGAAGATGAACTGGCATCAGGATTGGAGAGACACTTGTTAACAACTTGTAATATGTAGATGATAATTGCTTGCTTGCTGGAAATGAACAGAACTTAAAATATTAACTGAAGATCACAGACCACAGTCTTCAGTATGGATTTCACCTCAATGTAAAGAAAACTAAAATCCTCACAACTACATCAATAAATAACATCATTATAAATAGAGAAAAAATTGAAATTGTAAAAGATTTCATTTTTCTTGGATCCACAGTCAACATTCATGGAAGCAACAATCAAGAAATCAAACAATGTACTGTATTAGGCAACCCTGATGCAAAAGACCACATTAAAGTGTTTAAAAGCAAAAATGTCCATCTGAGTATTAAAGTGTACCTGATCCAAACCATGGTATTTTCTATTGCTGCATATGTATGTGAAAGTTGAACAATGTATCAAGTAAAAAAGACTTGATACATATGATTTACTGAAGAAGAATATTGGAAATAACATGGACTACCAGAAGAACAAACAACTTTATGGAGGAAGAAGTACAACCAGAATGCTCCTTAGAAACTTCATTTCTCATACTTTGCATAAGTTTTCAGGAGGAACTAAACACTGGGAAAGGAAATCATGTTTGTAAAGTGGAGGTTCATTAAAAAAGTGGAAGACCACAAAGACATGAATGCCAATAGCCATGAGTTCAAATGTAACAAGAATTGTGAGGATGGCACAGGTCCAGCCAGTGTTTTGTTCCATTGTCATAGGGTCACTGTGTGTCAGAGTGGACTGGAAGGCACCTAGCAAAAACAACAACAGTCTGATTTCAGAGCCCATGCCCTTAACCATACACCCAGCTGTCCCTTCTGTTCTTCATCATTTTATAGTACAAATGTCAGGCTCTAAAGAGGGTCTAGCGGTTTTTGACTACATGTAGTCAAAACACTCACTCAATTGACTTACCCAGATAGGTGAGTTGTCTCAAATGACTATTGAAGAACCAGTCACAGCTTTGGTCATGACCAGGTGTTGGAAGAGAAGAAAGAGACCGGCCCACCTGCCTCCCACACCTTATGAGGATGTCAGGGTAAGGAGGCAGGTCTGTATGCACCAGAAGGAGGTGATTCCCAGGAGCAAAGTTATCAAATGTAGCTGAGCACTAGAAGAAAGAGAAAATTTTTAAAAAGAAAATATTACTCATTTGGTAAGGAACCCACAGCCATGGAGTCTATTCTGACTCATACAGAGTAGACTTCTGCCATAGGATCTCCAGACTGTAAATCTTTACAGGAACAGATAGCCTTATCTTTCTCCCGCAGAGCAACTGGTGGGTTTGAACCACCAATCTTGCATTTAAAAGCCTAATGCTTAACCCACTGCACCATCAGTGCTCTATTTAGTAAGGAAGTCCCCTCTCCCCCCCCCTCAAAAACAGGGCTAGAGATGTCATTCCAAAGGGCTGATAGAATCATTTAGAAATAGGGCAATTCAGACCCAAACTGTACTTTTTTGTGGGAAATGTGCATATTTAATTTCAATTCATAGTGATTTTATCAATAAAGTGACAAATATATAGAATAATGGGAGGACTGAAAGATGTCATAAGGATCTTGTAAATAAATGAGAAAACCATGGCCCAGGTTAAGTGAATGGATTTGTCCCAGATCACACTGCTAGAATAGACAGAACTAACTCTAGAATCCCTTTCCAGTTTTTCTCCACAACTTATAGAAGCAGCCAGACAGAAGGATCATTCATTTATAGCCATTAGAGTTAACAGTGCTAGAGCATTTACTACATCCTTATTTTTATAAGCCATTTGTTCCTCCTCACAAGACACCCTGTAATTATTACTATTACTGTCCCATTTTACAAATGAGGAGATTGAAGCAGACAGAGGTTCCGTAACTTGCCCTGCTGCCCAAAGCTGGAGAGTAAAGAGCCAACACGTAAAATTTAGGCTGTACCAACTAGAGTTGCCATCTTTCTGCCTTCAATGTAGGATAATTCCCACGATGTCCTTACTAAAACCTCAAGAAAAGGAGAGGCATGCAACCTTTCTGAGAGCCATTAATAAAAGAAAAGACAATCCACTTTGAATCCCCTAAAACTATGGCACACCACCAAAAGCAACTTCTACCTCCTTAAGGGCTGTCTTCATGACCCTTAGGGGTTATGGGTATGGTGAGAAGGGACAAAAGAAATATGTTAAAAGAAAGAAGCTTAAGGAAATCCACTAGTTTTCTATTTTTGCATAAATTGCATCAATTATCCCAATGGCTAATTTAATCTTTGCTTCCTCTACATATGGCTCCTTCAACCCTACCCAGGCCCCAAGACTCTCATAGGCCTTCAGCTACAAGTTTATACTTGACCACAAGGTGGCAGTATGTAATGTATGATATAAATGTCTTTTGTTTAGCCATTTTCTGGGGGGTGGGAATTACAAACACTTCTCTCAGGGGTAAATTGACTCTTAAACCATAAAATAAGAGTATTATTCTATAGATTGTTTAGTAGCTGCTTTTCATTGTACCAATATGATTAAAATACCAAGCAGAACCATTCAGCATTCAAGGTGAGATTTAAGTAAATTCTAAAATTTTCAAACTACAGAAGCAACCAAACCACACATTCAGGGACATTTATCTGGCAAAAATTCTGCTGTTGAGTTTACTTTATCATCACCAGAAGATGTTAATATATAATTCATTATTTCACAGAAGGGAAGATAAGAACCTTTGGAGGATGGGATATAGCACTGAGTGAATGTTGGGGGTTACCTGCAGAGATCTGTTGATCCAAGGGGTCTCGAATCGCAATGTGTAGGTCTCTTTATCCAAGAGCAGAGCCATCCAGCCATGTGTGGTTGACAATGTGTCATGTACATAGTTGACAGTGGTTGTCTTATTTCTGCTGTCAGTCATAATTAAATCATAAGAAACAACCGGAGCATCAGCTCTAAGGGTAATATAAAAATACATGTAGTAAGTTTCCAGTTATTTGCCAGTTTGGATCTAACATAGTCTTCGGCATCACTTGTAATTCATCTTTGTATTCTCTCCATGAACATCTTGTTAAGTGCCTTCGAGTCCTTCTACCTCATAGAGACCCTGAGTAGGGTTTCTGAGACTAGTCAATCTTTGTGGGAACAGAAAGCCTCATCTTTCTCCTGCGGATGTACTTATTGGTAGTGGTGTGCTGTGGAGTCGGTTCCGACTCATACCAACCCTACTCAGAGTTTCTGAGGCTCTAAGTCTTTACGGGAGTAGAAAGCCTCTTCTTTCTCCCAAGGAACAGCTGGTAGTTTCGCACTGCTGATCTTGAGGTTAGCAGCCCGACTCGTAACCACTACACTATCAGAGCTTCTTGGATGTACTTCTCATTATACACATAATATAATGAGAATTATATACATAATATAATGTATATAATTATACATAATATAATGGATGTACTTCGCTTTATATGCATAATATAATACTGCATGCTATGTTGTTTCTATCAGACAGCGTGCAGTCAAACCAGCCCTGTTGGAAGCTGCTACTGGACTGGGCATTACAATGGTGTAGTGGCCTACAGGTGTAACACTCACCTCTTAGGCCACTTTACAAGTATGACCTAAAAGAGGTTATGAGGGGGGTCTTCAAAAAGTTCGTGGAAACTTTCCAATATATTTTAATTTCATTTTCCACAAACTTTTTGAAGCCCCTTCATGAGAGACAGTCAACAATGGGAGCAATAAAAAGAGATCCTAGTTGGGAGCTCTGACAGCATAGTGGTTACGAGTTGGGCTGCTAACCTCAAGGTCAGCAGTTTGAAACTACCAGCCATTCCATGGAGAAGGATGAAGCTTTCTGTTCCCGGAAAGATTTACAGCCTTGGAAACTCAGAACTGCTCCATGGCACATAACTACCACCAAACCTGTTGGTGCGATCAGCTAATCAAAAAGCAGGAGGTTCAAGTCCACACAGAGGTACCTCAGAAGAAAAGTCTGACAATCAACTTCTCTGCTCCAAACTTTAACAAGTAGCCATTGAAAACCCTATGGAGCCCAGTGCTAATCTGACAAATGAGTCACTATGAGTTGGAGTCCACTGGATGGCCACAGTTTTATGTTTGCTAGCTTTGTTCTGGTATCAATGACTGAGACCCAGAGCAAGCCATGCCTAGGCTTTCAGAAGCCTAGCCCCTACTACTCAGTAGGAATGGTGTCAGTAGGCCTCTAGAAAGAAGATGTGATCTGGCACCTCTACTGTGTGCTCACATTATGACCAGCATTCACTTTTTAATATATATATAAAGTTTTTATTGTGAGGTTTACATGGGAGAACATCTGCTTTACACTAATTCTATCGTATTTTGTTTCATTGCAATGATTACAGTCCCCTCCATGCATCATCACCAAAGTGTACACCACACATCCCCCTCCCCACCTGCCGCCAGCACACAGTACTTCTCCCTCCCTGAGTCCAATGTCCCCAGCTGCTCCATCTGTCCACATCATCTTCTCTGTCTCCATCCCTGGCATCACTGCCTCTCTGGGTGGGGTCCCGCTCTCCGCTCTTCTCACTTGATGGTCCCAGGGATCTCCACTTCTGGGCTGCAAAATCAATTACTCCCCTCCTTTTGTCAAAAAAACATCTACCTCTGTATTTCTTAGCCTCACAGTCAGAGCCAATGGCAATTATTCACTATTGTACCACAAGAGTTTTATCCCCATTTCCTTTTGCCAGCCCGGTCCCAACAGATTGGAAATCATTCGGTGGTGATTCTACCTTCCCCTGCCCCGTCTGGAACTAGGCTCCCTCTTGAAAGCTTGTAAGCCAGTTACTTCGTGGCCTTATAGACACCCTCATTTTGAGTAGCCAATGTCTATGCTGCCCATCCCTGTCAACCCTGTGTACCAAGGGGGTGGGAGTGATCCTCCCTGTAAAGATTTGTTCCCTTATTTTGAGCTACTACATCCAAAGGAGTCCTGGTGTGGTGCTGTGGGCTAATGTGTTAGACTGCAAAGTCATTTGAACTGCAGTCAGTGGTTCAAACTCAACAGCTGCTCCTCAGAAACCCTATACGGGGTCGCTATGGGTTGGAATCGACTTGAAGGCACTTAACAACAAAACATCCAAAGGAGCTCTGGTAGTGTAGTGGTTACGAGTTGAGCTGCTAATCTCAAAGTCAGCAGTTCAATACTACCAGCAGTTCTGCAGGAGAAAGATGAGGCTTTCTGCTCCCATAAAGATATACAACCTTAGAAACCCTATATAAGGGTGCTATGGGTCAGAACCGACTCGACGGCATTTAACAACATCATCAAATTGTAGCAAGTTACTTTTTTTTTTTTTTTTTTTTACCCTCTTCTTTCTTCTTCTAGTCAAGTTCTGACCATCCAGCCATCGAAGCAAGTTCAAGTGGGTACTATCTGCAAGTATGGGTGTTCTTGTGCATCACCCCTCACTTCATATCAGCTGGATGCTTCACTTTCCGCTCTTTCCACTGTAGTCCTCTGTGGCCATGTCACTGCCTCTGGGCCCAGGAGTCCCCGGGTCTTGCTGTACTGCTGACCATCCAGGTCTCCACCTGGGTTCATAGGGGTCTGTTGAACGTGGTCAGGCTTAGCTCGCAATTTCATTGCTGTTTTTTCCCCCTCTTCCCTTATCTGTGACCAACGTGGTCACCAACCAGACCACATGCCTGTTCATGTATTCCACTTGAGTCTCAGTCTTGGAAGGGGGTTTGCTCTGAGGGGTCCCCACCACTTGCCTTGATGGCTCCCAGGCAAACAGCTTACTTGTTCTTGTAGTAATCAATCAGGCTGCCATTATTGTTTCAGATTTTTCCTGCCGGTCTTTCTTTCACAAAGTATCTTCTGTTCTTCTAGCCACTCCAAGCTTGTCTACTCGTCCTTTCCGGTGGAAATTTCCTACCTCAGTCAGTTCTGGATGGGGTTCTGGATTCCACCTATAGTATTATGCAGTGTAAAGGCTCCACAGGAAGCCTCTTTCACTGGGCAACTTCTAGCCCCCTTGAAGGTATTCCAATCAGTTATAGGCTGAAGATGGACTTACAAGCTTTCTGTAGTGATGATTCTGGCTATTCCTTTCTCCCCACATCAAGTGTCTATTTTACAATGGTAGGCAAGGGAAACCAAGGTTCAAAAGACAGCCAAGCATCTTAACGCTATTCCCGTCTTTTACAACTTCAAACCATGACTCAATCCCTGTATCTTGAAGCCCTGTTGTTCCAAGGTTGTGCATACATCATCATTT